TGGGGCACCCCCTACTGGCAAAAATCCATAGTACAGTTTTGTTTTGTTTTTTGTTTGTTTGTTTTTTTTTTTTTTTTTAAATGACACTCTCTGGTTTTCTTTCTTTAGCCCATCGGTGCTCTGAACCCCAAGCGGGCCGCGTTCTACGCCGAGCGCTACGAGACGTGGGACGACGACAGCTCGCCCCCTGACCACTACGCCACCCTCTACTCCACGGCGCACTCAACCCTCATGTGGATGCTCAGAATAGTGAGTCACAGTCTTGGCGGCCATGGCTGCAGTTTGCTCAGAGGAAATCCACGCATTTCTCTCTCAAACTTGACACGAGATTGATTTGACAGCCAGCATGTGGACCAGGGCTTGTCCAATTCAGAGGACAATTATAAACTTTAAAATGTGACTTTGACGTGCGTTTCTGTCCACAGGAGCCGTTCACCACCTTCTTCATCAACGCCAACGACGGCAAGTTCGACCACGCCGACCGAACCTTCTCGGGCATCGGCCGTTCGTGGAGGAACTGTCAGAGGGACACAGCGGACGTGACCGTAAGGCGGCCCGTCGAGGCGTCCGGTTCCTTAGGTGGGTACCCCCTCTGACGGCACTGTGGTGGTCCCGCAGGAGCTGATACCCGAGTTCTACTACCTGCCCGAGATGTTCGTCAACAGCAACGAGTACGAGCTTGGCGTGCGCGACGACGGGCTGCCCGTCTGCGACGTGGAGTTGCCCGTCTGGGCCAAGAAGCCCGAAGATTTTGTGCGCATCAACCGCATGGTGAGACCGCTTTTCTCGTAGCATAGCGCATCTTGCAGCGGCGTGGTCCCAAAATAGTTCCTTCCCGCTTGCCCGTTTAGGCGCTGGAGAGTGAGTTCGTGTCGTGCCAGCTCCACCAATGGATCGACCTGATCTTCGGATACAAGCAGCGGGGCCCCGAGGCCGTGCGGGCGCTCAACGTCTTCAACTTCCTGTCCTACGAGGGGGCCGTCAACCTGGACAACCTGGACGCAGTGCAACGGGAGGTCGGCAATCAGTGGCCGCAACCCGTTCGGGCTCTATGGTGCTCTAGGCTGACCCTTCTGTGTCCGTGCAGGTGATGGAGGCGCAGATTCAGGCGTGCGGGCAGATCCCGTCGCAGCTGTTGATTGAGCCACACCCACCTCGATCCTCTGCCATGCACCTGGTGAGACTCAGCGACCATTTATACACACACACACGCACACATGCCGTTTAGCCTCTACTCTTCCTCCATGTCGACCCGATCCCTTGCTCCTTGGTGTGAACCTGCTGTGACCCTCATCTCCCACTAATCTTGCCTTTTTCCCCGCCCTCCCCCTCCTCCTCTCCCCCCCTTTCCCACCTGGGTCTGTCCCTTCCTCCATTTCCGTCCCCCTCATCCTCCTCTTCCTCTTCCTGGCTCTCTCTGTCTGTCTCACCAGTGTTTCCTTCCTCAGAGTCCTCTGATGTTTAAGGATCAGATGCAGCAGGACGTGATCATGGTGCTCAAGTTCCCGTCCAACTCTCCCGTCACCCACGTGGCCGCCAACACGCTGCCTCACCTCAGCATCCCCGCCGCCGTCACGGTCACGTGCAGCCGCCTCTTTGCCGTCAACCGCTGGCACAACACCGTCGGTCAGTCAGTCTGTCCGCACCAGATTTACTGAGCCGCTTACGTGCAGTGGGTCGTTCGGGAGGAGACGTTCTTGAATTGTGTAGTTCATTTTAGGATGAGCCAAATTTTGTTCGGGTATCAAATTGGAGCCTACAAGGTAGGCTGGATGAGCTAAATATTCTAAATATTGGTCTCGAAATGAGCTGGGTTGTTCCGGATGAGCTGCTTGGTGTTGTTGAATGAAATTGTATCATTCTAGATGACCGGAATATCGTTGAAGAGAAGCCGATTGCCAAATAACTTACCAAATGGTTTAAATGTGTTTTGTTGGACCGTCTCCAGGCCTGCGAGGCGCGCCGGGATATTCCCTGGAACAGGCGCACCACCTTCCCATCGAGATGGACCCTCTCATAGGTCAGTCAGCCCGCTTCTCGTATTCAGCCCATCAAAAGAGAGCCTCCCTTCAAAGGGGGCAGTGATGTCATGAAAGTGTCCGTGCGGTTCCGTCCAGCCAACAACTCCGGCACCAACAAGCGTCAGATCACAGACCTGGTGGACCAGAGCATCCAGATCAACACGCACTGCTTCGTGGTGACGGCCGACAACCGTTACATCCTGGTGTGCGGCTTCTGGGACAAGAGTTTCCGCGTCTACTCCACCGAGACCGGTACGACCCATCGGACGCGTTCGGTTCCGAACCGCCTTTTGAAACCCTTCACGCTCCCCCTAAAGGGAAACTGACTCAGATCGTGTTTGGCCACTGGGACGTTGTGACGTGTCTGGCCCGGTCCGAGTCCTACATCGGGGGAGACTGTTACATCGTGTCGGGTTCCCGGGACGCCACTCTTCTTCTGTGGTACTGGAGCGGGCGGCACCACATTATCGGGGACAACCCCAACAACAGTAAGTGCCGGACTCTAGACACTACTAAGAGAGTCTCAACTCGAAATGAACCTTCTTTTTTTTTCCCCATTTTAACTGCAGGTGACTATCCCGCCCCCCGGGCCGTCCTGACGGGACACGACCACGAGGTGGTGTGCGTGTCTGTCTGCGCCGAGCTGGGATTGGTCATCAGCGGGGCCAAAGGTAAATTGAATTGTTGCGTGTAGGGTTCATGAGGATGCGAATTTTCAATGTATTGGCGTCGAATCAAAATGTATTCTGGTAGATTAGAAATATTTAGCGAGTTGCGTCTAAATATGCGTCTGGCGTCTTTTTAGAGGGTCCGTGCCTGGTCCACACCATCACGGGGGACCTCCTGAGGGCCCTGGAGGGTCCCGAGTTGTGCCAGCAACCTCGTCTGATCTCGGTGTCCAGCGAGGGCCACTGCATCATCTACTACGATCGAGGGCGCTTTTGCAACTTCAGCATCAACGGCAAGCTCCTGGCTCAGATGGAAGTCAACGACTCCACGCGGGTGAGCCTCAACGCCGGCGTGAAACTTGAATTTCAAGTATTGCTCTCGTATCCTTCCAGATTCGTCAGATAGCCTTTTTTTTTTTTTTTTTTTTTTTAAACAAATGATATTGTTCTAGACCAGGAAAAATCACCTAGAAATTAATGTTATTGTTCCAGATGAGGCAGCTCTCCTTCATATATCACGTTGTTTATTCAACGAGCCAAATATCATCCTGCAATCGAATCATATGGTTGCATATCAGCCAAATATTGTTCTTGCATTGAATAGTATCGTTCTAAATGAGCCAATTTTTTTTTTTTTTTTTTTGTCATTATTTGATAGTTTCAGATTAACCACATCGTGTTTTTGAATCATATGGAATCATTGCCATGAGCCACATATCGCACGAGAATTTAATTGTATCGCTGGAGGCGACCGCTTTTAACCTTCAATCGAACTCCTCCGCTTCCGTCCCGCCAGGCCATCCTGCTGAGCAGCGACGGGCAAAATCTGGTGACGGGCGGCGACAACGGCGTGGTGGAGGTGTGGCAGGCCTGCGATTTCAAGCAGCTCTACATCTACCCGGGATGTGACGCCGGGATCCGCGCCATGGACCTGTCGCACGACCAGAGGTAACCACGGCGACCACGCCATCCCTTAGTGCTGTTCCATTCCAGTTAAAAAAAAAAAAAACTAAGGGAAGAAACTTGCTGAGATACCTGTTGCTACGGATAATGTTTTGTTGTTGCAGTTATTATTTAATTGTTGCAATGGAAATTGTTAGTCGAATCAGAAAACTATTACCAGGGAAACCGTCGCCTGACTTTGTGTTTTTTGCCACAGAACGTTAATCACCGGGATGGCGTCTGGCAGCATTGTGGCGTTCAACATCGACTTCAACCGCTGGCACTACGAGCATCAGAACCGCTACTGAGGCCGCGGCAAAGCGACACTCCAGGTACACAAGAAGAAGACTTGACGTCCTGGTTCCTTTGACAGGACTCTGTCTACTGTCTCACACACACACACACACGCACACGCACACACACACACACACACACACACACACACACACACACACACACACACACACACACACCCGAGCCCAAAGACGACGACACCCATCAGAGTGCGGATTGGTCGCTGGTGCTGGCGGGTTAGGTTCTGGGTTTGGGGGGGGTCTGCTTTAACGCTTCAGTGAGCCGAACACTCTTTGCGGAGATGATCCGCCTTTCGGTTCCTTTTACGGTTTTGATTCTTTTACTTAAATGTAAATACAACTCTGCCTCTTTTTTTTTTTTTTTTTTGGGTGTGTGTGTCCTTTCATTTGTTGTTATCTGAAACATATGTAATGACAAGGACGGCGACCGTGACGACAAATGTAAGAAAGTCAAGGATGGTAATTGTTTTTGCCGGAGATGTTACTGTGTTACTGACAACGATGAAGACCCCCACCCCTCCCATGGACACAGACACTTCTGATTTCAACTTCGTCCCCCTCCCCCTTCAACATTTAGTGGTCGTCGTGTCAAATATGTACATAAAAAGTCTCAATTTTTTTTTTTTCCCGGCCCACGTGCTCACATTATTTAAAAAGAATCCATATTAGTTTGTTTTCTATTTGCACTTTGCACCAATCACACATCATTATTTATGTTTAGGCTTTGTTTCTTATTGCCTTTTCACAGGGGGCTTTAATTGTTATGATTGCGATGACTCTTACGATGGGCCGGATTCTTTCTGTTCCTTCTCGTCCGGGGCCGGGATGAATACTTTGTGCATCGATGTTTGTATTTAAACGCTCACATGTGAAGACTTTACAGCAATATGACAACGAGCGTGCGTACGACCGGCGTTGGACGCACATACGCGTAACTCTAGCTACACACACACACACACACACACACACACACACACACACACACGTATATCCAAAAACCGACAAAGGAAGAAAAAAAAAAGTTGAAATATTTTTGGATCTATGAAACCCTTAAAAACTATTGTATTCATGTTTTATTGCAAAGATGTAAAATATGACATGTGTGAGTTGGGAAAAAAAAATCATAAGAAAAATAAATTATGCAAAGAATTTGTTGACTCCGCTTTTTAATTGATGCATTTCACACGCCTTCTGGAACAAGCAACACATTTCGCTCTTTTTCTCTTGTCAGGGGGGAAAAAATATGAATGATTGGTCGGAAAAGATGCCGACGAATGCGCCTCAGTCAAGTCAATTCATGTAAACCATCTCTGATTAAAATTTTCTGTTGACCAGTGTCATTGAACGTCATCCTCTGTCATCCTGCTTTTTATACCTCCAGAAAGTGACGGCGGTGTACACAAGCCAGTGAAACAAAACATTTTCAAACATTTAATTACCCTTTAATGGACAGTTCCCCTTCATTTCCCAGAAGTCTTTGCAGCGGCCTGGCATGTGTTTTCCCGTGTGTGTGTGTGTGTGTGTGTGTGTGTGTGTGTGTGTGTGTGTGTGTGTGTGAGCCTCAGGCGCACAGCGAAGACACGGTGGACCGCCGCGAAGACGAGACGCTGCAGATCTCCACGTTGGTGAAGGTGCTCCGAGGCTCGCCGCAGGATGAGGAGCAAGAGGACGAGGACGAGATGATATTCTTCAGCCTATGGAGAGCGATGACCAGCAGGCTGAGCAGGAACAGCAGAAGGCCCAGGAACAGCCACACGTACACGGAAACGCCGCCAGCTCGACTCAGAGACGCCACCGCCGATCCTGATGACGATCCGGGGACGGATGTTGGAGGGAAGTGCGGGAAGGTTCCGTTTTCCACCGCTGAGGTACCGGTTTGGTCCATCCTGGGCATTCCAGCAGCAGCAAAATCATGACAAGAACCTTATAAGTGTTTAAAAAAAATAGGTGTACGGCGCATATAAAATGTCTACACACCCCTGTTCCAATGGCAGGTTTTTCCTGATATAAAAAAAAAAATTACTACAAGATGAATCATTTAAGAAGGGAAGTCAACAAGTACACATAGGAAGTCCATGAACCTATCGCGATATTGATCCTGCTTTTTAGAATAGCAACAACAGGGGGAGCCCTTCTCTCACTCGTATTCCGCGAGGTAAACCGTCATCTCCTTCACATGAGGCCAAAAGAGCAGGAAGGCTTGCTTTTGATCTTAGAGGTAATCTTGTCCGTACGATGTCACTTCTTATCACACTTTCGTCCCCAGCTGAGCGTTTCTGTGTCTCCTCCAGTGCGCGGCAAATGTGGGGACTTGTGTTGTTTGCCTGCCTGTGATCTGTCCCTGTTCGTTGTGAGCTTGAGTGCTTGATAATTGCTCTTAATCAGGCTTTTTGTCGCCTGGCAACCAGGCTTTCGGGGTCACGGGTTTGACTGGCAAATGCCTTTTGAAAGGACTCGTGATCGCCACCTAGCACGCGTTAGCGAGCTTGGTTTGTTTCTAACGGGCGACATTGTTTGTTTGTTAGTTTGACTATGCTCCTCTCTCAGCACTTATGCAACTGCACAGTCTGGACCGGCGGACAGCGTTTCACCAGTTTTGTTGTCTCAGCATCCTCCCTTTAACTCCATTTACGGTACCTCTCAATATGTCACCCATTTGATTGACGACACTCATGTCTCAGCATGTCGTTCATGTGATTGGCCAGCATTTCGAACATTTCGTTGATGACACTCGTGTCTCAGCAACATCCATTTAATTACAACCATCTCTCTGAATTTTGTGCACTAGTGTGATTATCACTTGGCATTTCAAGCAGTTTATTTATGATTTTAATGTCTCAGCATGTCATCCACGGTAGTGACGACACTCATCTCGCATTTTGTGCACTATTGCCTCTCAGCGCTTCGTCCATTTGGTTGCCGATGCTCATGTCTCAGCATCAACCATTTGATTAACGACCGCACCATCATCTCTCGGCACTTGGTGTGGTTTGATTGATGCATTTTTTTTTTTTTTTGGCTTATCAGTGGCCCAAAAAAATCTGTCATTCTGCAAGTACAAATATTTAATCTCTCTTTCTCCTCAGAGGATCCTCACGTCATGAATAATGGAGACGATTGATGTGTGACAAAATGTCATGACATTTGGTGTGCGTGTGTGTGTCAGTATGTTGTCCTCTTCCTCTTACCGCGCTCGTCTCTCGGCCCCAAATACAGAGAGTTTAGTGACTCAGCAGCGTTTCAACTCGCATCTCAGCAGACGTGTGATTGCAATCATCTCTCAGCATATCAATCATTTCAATTGGCTATAATCATATATTATCTCCGCATGTCTTCTATTTCATTGACTCCACTCATGTCTCAGCATGTGGCGCACATTTGACCGTCTCTCAGCATTTTACCCACTGTATTGACGAAACAAATTTCCCCGGCATGTCATCCGTTTAAGTGACTATTGTTATCTCTCAGCATGTCGTTCATTCGAGGGACGACTACACTCATGTCTCAGCGTGCTGCGCTCAACTGTGACTGCATACGCTGGCCCTCAATCGTCTCTCAGCATTTCAGTCCTCAGACGACACTCGTGTCTCAGCATATCATCTCGTTGACTGTCTGCACTCAGCATTTGATTAACTACACCCGTTTCTCAGCATGCTGTGCACACCAATGCCTCTACAATGACACCCGTCTCTCAGCATGTCATTCATGCGCCCACATTTGGTTTTTGTCCCCAAACGTAAGTCTCCGCTAACACTATTTGATTGACTACACTCAGCATTGGATGAACGACACTCATGTCCCAGCAAGTTCACAAGCATCTCACCCTCGCATCGTGTAAAAGTGGCGTCAATTTAATAGTCTCGGAAGGAAAAACGAAAAGAAGCAACAGGAAGCCATTCAGCAAACCTGAGTGGATGTCGGACGTCAAGCCAGCTCCATGTCGCCTCTTACTCTGCCCGGACGCTCTGATGCACACTTTACTCCCCAACCCCTCCCCCCGACACCCGCCCCCCCTCTCTCTCCCGCTCCCTCACTCTCTCTTGCTTTCTCTCATCAGCACCACACAAACACACACATCTCATCATTTAATTCACAGGATTAGAGTTTTAACATGTAAAGGTATACTATGACACACACACACACACACACACACACACTCACGTCATCATTCCCATGAACCATCCAATAACTCATCACGTCTCCTCCTCATTTTTCTACTGTGACCATGCTTATTAAAAACGGATCAATACTGTACACACACAGACACACACACACACACACACACACGGGCGCACATTTTCATAGGCACACAAAACGTGTGTGTGCATGCGCGTGTGCGTGAGTGAGAAGACTGAAGGACAACGATAAGTTTTTTTGGGGCCTCGACTCCCATTTTGTGGCTAATCTCAAAACTCCGGGAAGCGTTCCCTAATTCCCAGTTCTTCCCGGATAATCCCAAATAGTTGCGCCATTTTGTTCTTGCAGCTCCTCGCTCACCCTCCCGAGGCATGTGGCTCACGCACATTGCCGACTGGAGGTCGGCGTTCATGTGCATCTCGCTGTATGTATTCGCATCTAAGGGTTTTAATCACCTCTTTTTAATATTGATTTCTTGATATTTATTGGATTTTTGTTTGCGGCTCGGATAATAAATGGATGGAAGGACTTCACTGTTGAAACATAATAGACATCTCAGAAATGTCCACTAGTTTGTTTTTCTCGCCGGTATCGATGCTTGCGTCAGGTCAGCGGAGATGATGTGAGGGTGTTGACAGTGGGTGACACCCACACCCACCCACACACACACACACATCATGGCTGTGAGTGTCAGCCATGGTGTGCTGGTCCAGAATAACAATGAGGGAAATGGCAAACAGACGCTGGCGCCATCCCAAAACAAAAAAACCTGCGACAGCATCCGAGTGAGACGTTTTACCGTCTACTGAAGTCACTCTTGCGTGGAATACAAGAGAATGTCTTCCACCATTTTAGCCATTTACGGTTTTACAGCCTCTCCGGTCAGAATATTTGAATACATGAATAATTTAGGAAGACAAAAGATTTTTTGGGGTGGTGATGGTGGTGGTGGGGAGGGATGGGGTGGAGGGGCGCTCTAATAATGCAAAAATGATGACATGTTTCTCGACATTTGTAATTCATTCCTTCCACAGTGAGCCAAAGCTAACTGAAAAAATAAACAGAAATGATCACTGCAAGTTACCAAAAATACCAGAACAATAGTAGTCGCTCTCAAGAAAGTCAACATACTGTATTTGGTGATGTAAACATTTTGATGGCACTACTTTTACCCCATTCAAAGCATGCAATTAGGTAAATTCCCCGCTTCTGTTTTTTTTTTTTTTAAAGAATGGCTCGTCTCTGAATCAGATGGTCGGAATGTCTAATGCAAGCGTCTTTCCAATTTTCAAAAATTCCTTTCACGCCCCGCTAACACGTCTCTCAAGATGGACAACCAGCGGCGACTGCTACGCCGGCAGCCGAGCGAGCAAGTGCGGTGAGGTGGCCTCCGAGGCGGCGAGCTGTCAGCGGACGAGCAGCTCCGTCGCTCACAGAGTCAGGGAAGCGTGCGTTGCCATCAGCCTTTTCCCTATGTGGGGAGAGCAGCCAAAATTGCGCTCAACGATACTGTTATTTAAAATAGTCATACTGCTGATTTCTGAATAGTTAAAGTAGTCCTCTCAAGACAGTGTTAAGAGTTGCATGCAAACTTTTATGCTTTTTTTTCTGTATACTTAGCGAGTTTACGTTCGAATTCGATATCATTCAATTGTGGAAAATTTACGATGAATTGGAATTGAATTTACTGTCTAGTCATTGTCACGAATATGGAGCAACGAAACTCGCTCAACATTTACTACAGTACCCGTCCAAGAGGGAGAAAAAAATAATGACCAGCAGAGGGAGACAAAACGCGGAGCCTGATGAGTCGCCGCCAAGCGCGTCGTCAAAAAGAAAGATGAAAAAAATAAAACAGCCCCACACTATGTTCGTGTAATGGGAGAAATATAGTATGTTGGTGGGGGGGGGAGGGTTCATCCAACAGCCATATGATTTTTTTTAAATGTATTTATTAGGTTGTGTCCATCTCTCCAATAAACGACGATTCGATAGATATCTTAAGGTGTAGCGATTCGGTTCGATTCAGTGCGCTCACGTCTTTTAAATCAAAACCGATTTTCAGATTCAAATTGGCTCTATTGTACTCCTACTGTTTACACTTTTTTTTGAGGTTATGCCGCGCCTCTTCATTGTGCAGGCTTGCTGAGATGCCTCACTCGTGACTCACGCGAGAGGAAAAACCTGATTGACACTCTTGCGTCACAGCCCGCTTGCATTTTAACTCCGAGCCAACACACACAAAAAAATAATAATCATAAATTAAGCGTCTACTCTTTCAAGAAATTGTTCGGCCATAGTATAAAAGCGACATTTCTGTTTGCCTTAAAAAAGTGACTCAGCCGAGTGGAAAGTTTGAGTTGTAAAAGCATAAACAGGAAGTGACGTGACAATGCTGAGCGTGCGCCACAGGTGAGGTCAAAACTTCTCATACGTTCTAATCATGTCAGTGAGTATTTGAGAGTGAAATAAGGATCTAGAAGAGAACATTCTTTGTTTCTTTCTCCACAAGAGGAACCACAAGGTGAATTCAATTATTGCTGTATTTTTACTACTCACCCGAGGTTGTTTAAGCTTTAAAATGACTTGTGTATACTCGTGCTGCTTCATGTTCTTTCCTGAATGACTTCCTGTAGAATATGTTTTGTGCCTGAAAGTAATATTACCTTTCATAATATAATTATTATTATTATTATTACTATTATTATTATTAATTAATTAAAAAAGAAGAAGGAGAGGAGCGCAAACACTCGTCATGCAGGTTGGACCAGGTGAGCGTGACACAAACATGAACTCAGCTGCCGGCCCCTGTGTCTATATTTTTTGTGCTTTATAGTAATCATTTATTTAGTATTTTATATTAATATTTTTTTACATGAAGGATTTAGTTTTTTTTATGTAGTTTATGCATTTCATTTAATTTTATTTGGTAGTAATAAAATATGTTTTACTTTATACATATTGTGTGTGTGTGTGTGTGTGTGTGTATGTGTGTGTGTGTGTGTGTGTGTATGTGTGTATATATATATATGTGTGTGTGTGTGTGTGTGTGTGTATTTTATATTTCACAATTTATTCATTGATATCCATTTTTAAAAATACTTTCTGTTGTATTTTTATTAAAAAAATTTATTTCATATTTACATTGGTTATGTTTGAATGATATGATAATATATTTATATTTGGGGGGAATGCCATATATTTTTAATTTTATTTTTTTACAGATTTGTTGAAATCTCCAAGTTCTAAAAGCAACGTACTCTGAAGTAATTCATCCTAATATAAGTGGTGACATTTTGTTTTGCTCAGCATGGCGGAGCCGGCGGAGCTACTGCTGATCAAGGACCAGTACGAGCTGGCCTTCCGCTGCCTGAGCCGCGGCCTGACGCTGGAGGAGGGCGGCAATCGCTCCGAGGCGGCCGACTACTACCGCAAGGGCCACCAGCACCTCATACAGGGCGTGGGCGTGCCCACCGGGGGGCCGCGTCACCAGGGGCCCATGTGGGAGCGAGCCCGAGAGCTGCAGCGGAGAATGGAGGGCGCCCTGTTCACTGTCAGCAGCCACCTCTCCGCCCTGGATGCCTCGCAAACGCCCCCTCCCGCCCAGAGGAGGCGGCTGCTCATGGACCTGACCCCCAGCCTTCACCCCGTGCAGCATCTGTACCCCTCCATCCCTCCTGTGCTCCCGTTGAGGAACGCGCCTCCCGTCATGTCCCAGACTCCGGCGCAGCCCCCGGTGTACTCGCCCCAGCCCGCTGACGGCCACCGCAGCCTGGCCGGCGGGCCCGCACCAACAGGGTGGAGCCCGGCGGCGCCGGAAAGCCAGAGCGAGCTGCTTCTGATCTCCTCTGGCGTGCAGATGTTCTTCGTGGCCCCCAGCGGGCAGGTGAGCGCCCTGTCACATCCCGGATATCTTCGCATCGTCAGCTTTGCTACCCAGCCGCCTGATGGGAGAGGACCCGTCTTCTTGGATGTGAGTAGACTTGCCTTTTGATTATTTTCTGATCATTTTATGCATCATTTTACTGCATTGCAGTCTGGTGTGGCAAATACACTAACACAAAGTAAAACTAATTGCTCCTTAGAATTTGTACCGGCTGTCGTTCATGCTGCCCGTGTTCACGTTCCTCATCATGAGTAACAAAGTGTTTTGACTTTGTTGCTTCCCACTGAATGAGAGCAAACAAAGCTGATGAATGCCAAGTTGAGCGCTTGACACCCAGCGCATTGTTGGTCAGCAACACAATGGAGGCATTAACGCGCGAGTCAGCGCTTTTGTTGTCTTCACACAGCTCATTGTTGTGTCAGGCGGCACCAAAAAAAAAAAAAAAAAAAAAAATCAGATGGTCGGAATGTCTAATGCAAGCGTCTTTCCAATTTTCAAAAATTCCTTTCACGCCCCGCTAACACGTCTCTCAAGATGGACAACCAGCGGCGACTGCTACGCCGGCAGCCGAGCGAGCAAGTGCGGTGAGGTGGCCTCCGAGGCGGCGAGCTGTCAGCGGACGAGCAGCTCCGTCGCTCACAGAGTCAGGGAAGCGTGCGTTGCCATCAGCCTTTTCCCTATGTGGGGAGAGCAGCCAAAATTGCGCTCAACGATACTGTTATTTAAAATAGTCATACTGCTGATTTCTGAATAGTTAAAGTAGTCCTCTCAAGACAGTGTTAAGAGTTGCATGCAAACTTTTATGCTTTTTTTTCTGTATACTTAGCGAGTTTACGTTCGAATTCGATATCATTCAATTGTGGAAAATTTACGATGAATTGGAATTGAATTTACTGTCTAGTCATTGTCACGAATATGGAGCAACGAAACTCGCTCAACATTTACTACAGTACCCGTCCAAGAGGGA